ATTTTATATGATCTAATTTAATATATTATTTATCATATGACTAATTATATAGTTTGATATCTCACTCATTCTGTTTGAATGTTGCCCTCTGTTGGTAACGTGCATGTAATCAAGAAGGATAGTTATTACCTCGTTAGTTCGAGTCGGTGTTGTTGCTCTAATACGTAGCACTCGGGGGGATGAACACTTGATGTTTAGTTGTTGATTATTATTTCAGTTGTTGGATTTTTAAGTTGATTACATGAAGTAATTATTGTCTTGAGGTTATTTTAGTTGAATAAAAGATGTTAAGTGAATTGAAGTTGAGTATGTGTATTTCGTTACTTATCAATAAAAATTTGTTTGATTTTGAAGAATAAATCAGATTGTTATTGGTTCATCCGAGTTAAGTGTTATGTATCTGTTTGTATGTGATTAAATGAAGATTGATTTTTAGTTGAAAATGTAGCATCCTATTTATGTTGAACTCTGATTTTCTTATTATCCTCCAGGTAGAAATGGGGTGTTACAGTCGCCACCGACTTTTCTTTTATCCAATAAGGAAAGGGTGAAAAGAACAGTAAAGACCTTTGAGATATTTTCTTGAGTTCGGGGGGTAGGTTATAAAAAGGGAAGGTGTTAGCACCCTTTTCATCCATAGTTATATATGGGATCTTAGTTTCTTGCTAGATCACTTTTGAAATTGCTTTGTTTGAAATATCTTTGTGGTGGGTTTTGAAAGTATTTTTGAAAAGCACATTCGTTTAGATAAACTTTGTAATGATTCTCGTCTCTATAAGAATGCATACAAAGTGTTGGACTTTTTGAAAATATTTCATGTTTTGAAAGTGTTTGGTGTATTTTGAAAAGATGTTTGTTTTTGAAGATGGTTTGTGAGCAAGCAACTAAGAACGTTCTACCTACTCAAAATTATTTTGTTCATTTCTCTCTTCCTTTGACATTGCTATCTTACCATTGATTGGTAAGAAGCCTTATCTTTGGATGTAAAGGGACGGGCGTGGTTTGTCATATAGTCATTGAAAGCAACTTATGAGATGCTTTAGCAATTTTCGTAAGGGACTAGATCGTTTACCGAAGGCAACATCGAGGGACATCGAGGGACTACGATCTTTTTTTTTATCGAGGGTCTTTGCTAAAGCGCCTATATTCGAGGGACATGGCTATTTTTATCCGAGGAAACAAGTGTGGGTTACCTTAGAGGTGAAAGTGTGCAAGTGTTTGTTTTCATGCATTTTTTTCTTGAATTAGGATTGTCTAAGGATTAGTTTAGTTCTTACCATACACACCATAATTACCAACAATTATATGAAAAACAGTAAATTTACGGAAATTAAAATCCTACGCTATTACATTATTAGGGGAATGGGGGTACAATTTACAAATGGGGATAGATAAGAGCTTAAATATTACAACCATGTTGAATAGTAATGAAAAAAAATATGAAAATAGATAAAACAATGTAAAAGAATGGAAAACTGCACTTTTGAACATTATGTGTCGACACATGCTCTTTTGCATCGAAACATAACTTTACTTGTTCCTGTAAAACCAAATCATCCCAGTATGAGTCGATGCATAATTGGATGAGTCGACTCACGCACCTGTTTGTGTCCACATATACGCATTTTGTATCGACTCATGCACCTTTCATCCTTCTGTTTTAGGGCCTGTATAACAATATGAGTCAATGCATAAGACCATATGTCGACTCATACCCTATTTTGTCACTAGAATGAGTCGACCCATGTGGGCATGTGTCGACTCGTGCTGTAGTTTTTTGCCTCCATCATCATTCTCTTGTGTATACAGGTCAGTTCATAGCATATGATTGATAAAAAATGAATAGCAAGCAAATGGTTAGCTCAAAGGGGTAATGATTACTACATTTTATCTTCAAGAATGAATCATTAGTGATATATGAAAAATGCAAAGTCAAGAAGACTTACCTTGAAGCTGGAACTTGTGTTTTGAGCTTGAGTTGCTGCCTTGAGTATTCTTGCGCTTGGAGAAATAACAATGTTATAGAAGTTGTGCTTGAGTTTGAGTTGCTGTCTATATGATGTATGTGAATGGTTTGTTCAATAAACTCACGAGGGAATTATGGGTTGGGTATTCAAAATCAGAAATGATACAAAGATGGAGGTTTTATGCAATTTCTAGATTTGAGGGAGTTTGAGGGTGTTTTTATGCTTGTAATCTCTATTTTTTGACCTCTTTCTCTTGCAATTGGCCTCTCTCTCTCTCTCTATTTATAGAGAAGGTTTGAGACTTCAAACAACTCAGATTTTGAATCACATGTTATGGCTATCTTGCTTGTTTTTGAAGCAAGCGTGAAGAACATGTTTCCAGTGCTTGTACCAAACTATCTAAAGTTGTTGATCACTTTAAACATGTTTGTTCTGACTTGTAGAAGTTGAGTGTGATTAGAACAACAAGTTAGAGGCTCAAGAAATTGACTTTGTGATTAAAGTGAACTTTTCAAGAATGAATATGTTGCTTTCTTCTAAAAATGGAATGATCACTTGGACAAAGGCTCAAACACTTAGATCATAGTTTAACCAGCTGTGTAAGCATTTAATTAAGGAGTGATATACAAGTTTGAGGACTATAAAGTGAAGACTATGCAGCATAGCTAAGATTTTGGTTCCTTGTTCATCACAAATCTGCCTTGTAAATCAAGAATGAATATCCAACTTCAGGTCCTTGAATCTCCTAGCTCAAGTATGATAAATTCATGCTCTTGGATATTTTAGAAAGCTTGAAACATCCTCTACAACTTTCATATTTTCCACTTTTGTTAAATCAAACTGGAACTTGATGAAAATTGGCCAAGAAGTTGGGATAAAAACCTGACCAAACCTGCTGAAAATTTCTCTAAGTGTTTAATAAAAAATGCCATGACTTCATGAATTTATAATTTAAAATCCAAGCATTTCTAGAAAAAGTTCTGCCCTACAATGTTATAGATCTCATTGAGATCTAAAACTTTCGTGTTGGAAGTTTACCTTGAATCATCTTTCATCATGGTGAAAATTTGGTACAAAGTAATGAGATTATCATGTATAAAAAATACTTAGAAAAATTTCTAAGCCTTGAAAAGTTTGACTTTTCACATTGACTTTTGACTTTCTTGATTTCTTGAAGATCAAGCTCGATATTCTTGAATGTCTTGACGAATTTCGATCTTTGAAACTTAATGTTAACCAAAAAGTCAAAGTTTGACTTTTGGTGCTACTGTTGACTTTTTCATCGGTACAGTTAATTTTAGGTCATCTGATCAATTGACTAAGCAATTTTGTGATCCAAGGCTTGAAACTTGTCATGAGCATTCTTGGAGGTCCATAATGATCCATGAAAGTATTTTGAGGCATTAAAAGTCCAATTGTCCTTATGAAAACTCAAACCCTAATTTGAGACATCAGTGTTAAGGAGATGGCTTGATCTAATCAATCCTTGTGCAAGCTGGATCTATTTGAAGATCTTGTGAGAAATGTCTTAAGAAAAGAGAGGACAAATTTTGGGGTACAACACCAATGCTGAAGATGATAGAGGTTAAGTTGAGCTGGACACTGATGAGAATCTGTCTAACACCATTATTCTTCTTGAGAAGAAATTCAACAGGATGTTAAAAAGATTGGACATAAGAGGGAGACCATATGTCAAGAGCATCTCATATGACATCAGTAACAATCTTGATTCTCAGAAGAAAACAAGATCAGAAGAGAAGTCAAGTCAAAACAAAGACATTCAATGTTTTATCCTGATTTTTTTTATGAATTAACACAATAAAATTTCGATTCAGAATCAATTTTCTAGAAAATCGAGTTTTGTACGTTAGGCCGCGTAAAGGCCAAAAACGCAGGAACACAAGGTCTAGAGCGCGACGATACAATTTACGTGACTCTAATATTTGTAAAAATCGACAAAGAGTCCCCAAAAACCGCGTCAATTTCAATGAAAATGCGTATTAAATGGACTCATGAGTGTTTTCAGATATGCATTTTCGAATTAACCCAGAACAAATTCGGAGATGCATATTCAAACCAACATGTTGCTTGTTTTGTGAAGAGTTTGTTCGGTCGGATATGCATTTTTTAATTTACCCAAGGACATTTTCGAAATTTCAAGAATACGCCCCATATAACAAGGGTGAAATGATAAATTGACTTGTATAATTATGATGGTCGGGTCTTCCGAGCTTTAAGTTTAGTATCTTTCAATGGGGTTGGTTTAGCCCCCTCATCTTTGTATCTTTTCCCTTTCTAATATATCGATGCATATATAGCTCACTTTTGCTTTTAAAAAATTCAAATGAAAATTCAAATATAGGAAAATTTATTATTTGTTTTAAATCGAAATTATAAAAAAATATTTTATTTATGAAATAAATGAAAAATCAATATATATATTTTTTAAAATAAGGATATTTTGAAATTATCATAATTTTGAATATGTAAAAAAGAAAAAGAAATTGGTTAATTTTAATATAAATTGGTTATATATTTAAAAACTGTCATTAATAAAAAAAAAAAGAAGTTAGTTTTCGATGTATTTTTTAATATCAAAACAAAAATCAATCAGAAAAGAAAAACAAATAAAAGGTGTTTCTGTTTTTCAGTTTTTTTGAAAAAAAGTGACAAGGACTGAAAAAAAAAGTCAACTAAATAAGTTATCAAACACGTCCTAAATTTCAGAATTCTTACAAATTCCATAACCAAAATAGTGAATTACCCGTTTTGCAAGCTAAGATAAAGTTTCTGTTATATGAATCCAAGTGCCAACTCATCTCCTTATAGAAAACGTTCATGTAGGATATACATACATGCATTCTCCTATCCAAAACAGCTTATACATTATATTCTAGATACATATATAAATAAGTTCAATGTCACATATTTAATACACACATCATAAACAATATAAAATCTCAAAACATTATAAGAAACAATTGTCACACACTAAAGTTTCATTCATTTGTTTATTCATTCATCAATATTAATATGGCAGAGCTCTCAGAATTGTTTCCTTCAGACAAACAATTTGATGGTTTAGTGCACATGTATGTTCATGTCATAACATTTGATCCTCCAACGTTTGTTATGATATGTGTCTTAATCACAATGTTTTTCTTTATCTTCCATCAAATTTTCCATGGTTTATTCTATTGGTTTGTGGAATCTAGACCTATACATATCAATGAACGTGACATTGAACAAGGAGATACTGATCTAATTCGTGAAGATAACGATCATGACCATGATGATGATGATCATGATCATGATCGCCAAAATGTTACAATATTTCATACTCTTGTTTTTAGCAATTTACAAGCTTGGACAATTTTGGCTGGAATCGAAGAAGAACAAGAACAAGAAGATAATTATTATGATGAGAAAAGAGGACAAAAACTTAGAGCGTGTAAGAAACTACCGCCTTTGATGAACTATGATGGAGTTGGAAAGCATGATCATGAGTTAAGAAGAAGTTGCGATGAATGTGCGATTTGTTTGGAAGATTTTCAAGTGGGGCAATTGTGTCAAGTTTTTCCGGTTTGTAGACACATTTTTCATGTCGAATGCATTGATCATTGGTTGCAGAGGAAATTCACGTGTCCGATATGTCGTAATTGTTTATAAATATATAGATAGATAGATTAATTCTTGTAATTCTTAAAATTGTATAGATTTGTATATATATATAAATATATGTTTATTCAATTTTTTTTAGTGAATATGTCTATAGATTATTAATTATGTATAGCTTCTAATATAACTAATTAATTTCTCGATTTTTTATAGTTCTGATTTAGAGAAGAGTAGTATTAAGATAATTGATGATTAATAAGCAAATGACAGTAGAGGATTTAAATTCAACAATTGTTGTCAATTGAATGATACGGACGAGAATCTATTTGTAAATCTGTCAGCTTAGCGAAGATACTATTTTTCTAATCGAAAGTTTTCTATAATTGGGCACCTATATTTGGAGTTTACAAGATGAAAATTGAAAAAACAATTTATAATGCGACATATAAGTTATCTAAATAAGCTGAAAACATTTTATAAACATGTTATAATTTGTTTTCATAAGCAATTTCAATAGTCTCACAAGTGTTTATGTTAGTAAATAATTTTAAATCACTTGATTCAAACATGACTTATTTAGTAAAAGTGAAATTTTTGTCTACATTTCTACTTCAGTCGCTACTGGCACCTTTTCGTATACCTTTGGCCCTCGAAATCTAGGAGGAAGAACACATTGAGCACCAAAACGTTGCTGCAAGTAGATAATGATAGCAAATAAGATACCTCCCAAAGGAATGACAATATCCCAACTAGTAGAGTAAAAATCTGCATTAGGATTTGCATAGAAGTACGATCCATTGACGAGTCGAGCATAGTTACGCGCCCTGTAAAGATCGTAACCATGTGGCAAGAGTCTCACAAAAGTAGTTCCAAAGTAAAACGAGCGTGAAAGAACATTCTCGTTCATATTTGAAACCAGGTTGAGGATAACTTGCGGCACAAGAAAGCTGTCTAATACCAAACCACCGTAAGATTTCATGTTCTCCCAAGACGAGTATTCTTGAAAACCATCATTTCTCAACTTCGACAGCAAAGAAATCAATAATCCAGCAGCATACAAAGGGAAAGTCACATAGGTAGCCTTTCTCTCAGCAATCCAGAGATTGGCCTCGCTTTCGCTGGTCTTTCTTGACAACCAAGTTAGTTGAAGGAGACGGAACTGCAGCAAGAAAGCTATCATGATGATTATCCTCACAGTTATTTCATTAACTTCAAGCCATCCAACATATCCAAACACAAAGTTTTTGTTGTTAGGATTTTGAGCAAGAAGCGCTTCGAAATTTAGAACAAGCGGTATCATGTGACCAAATGTAAGTATCGACATCATGAAAGTTGAGATCAAAGGAAGCACATTAGGGAGTTTCTTCACATGGTATAGCTGCAATCCGACGAAAACACTTGATAGAGTTGTAGATATCAGAACCATGATAATCTCCATATCCATTCTCCAAACAGCTTTTATTGCTGTTTCCGAGTAAATTGTAGACGAAGATACCTCTAAGCTTTGGAAGTAAAGAGGATCTGATTTCTTGCGCGTGCTTTCGATACTTCCTTGAATGTAGCTTCCATTATTTTCATCTAATGATGGAAAGTGAAACTTCAAAAGAATCTCACAATCCACATAGTCAGTTATTTCTGTTCCAGCAATTGAGTTAAGATCGCGACAACCGATCATGCACAAAGTTCCTGTTCTAGCATCATAAATTCCTTCTGCAGAAATCTTAACTCTGTAAGAGGAAAGATTAAACATTGAATTCCTATCTTCGAATGATGAATTAGAAAACATGGTAATCTTGTAGCTAATGTTAAACGAGTTTACGCTACCGTTGTTGAGGATTATTACCATAGGCCTAGGAGATTCTGCTGTGAAACTTGAATCAGAAACAGGAAGATTATTGTTTTGATCAATATCATAAACTTGATCACCAACAGATAAAGGATTCGAAAAACCAAATGCTATTCTCCTATGAGACTCTCTATCTCTAACTGACATATCAAATCTCATATCATTAGAATAACCATCTGGAAACCTTGTTCTTCCTTTGTTCTTGAGAATCTTGTTGTGTGCTGGACATGATTTCTTAACTCTTTCGAGTTGACTATACTCGTACTTGGTCGCTCGATATCCCACCCTATCGTTCTCGAAATTTCTGAATGTTATCATCTTGAAGTAGTTTGGATCATTAGTACTTTTCTTGCTCCAAATTTGTCCAACTATGTTGTTAGTATTTTTGATTGACCAAACTGAAGGAAACCTCAAACTCAATCTCACCGAGCAATCCCCGATACGAGCCTCATTCAAGGACGATTTCGTGATGCCGATACAATGACAAGCAACTACACACAATGAGTTCCTCTTCTCATCCCACCAACCTTCCCCTATCAACATAGTTTTTGGATTGAAACCTTTTTCAACCCAATAATCACTTTTATTTGAAAAAACCATCATAACCTTTAATCTGTGCTTGTTTTCTTGAGAACATTCAGTAACTTTCAAAGACATCATATATGGCAATTGATCAGTAGTCATAGGAGTGCAATTCTCTGAAGAATTGCACTCATGAGTGTACTCTAGTTGAAGTCTTCTAATAGCTCTTGAGAGTGGAAATGAACAAAAACTCGATGAAAATCGATTTAGTGACAAACCCTTTTTCTCAAAAGGGAAATCATTTTCAGCTTCTTTAGAATCCAAACTATAACTATAATTTGCTTTTGGAAACATCATAACAGAAATGGTTTCAAAATACTGATTTTTCTCATCACCCCTTTCACTACTCAAACTCTCTAAGCTTCCACTAATCAAACTAGTGATGTTACTTGAGTTGAAAACATTGTTAAGCTTAAAAACAGCTTCAAGATCAAGAGAATCACCTGTTTTGGAATAACCAATTCCTGTTCCAACCATGCAAATTTTACCTGAAGACTTTGACCAAAACCCTTCAAGCATAAAAGTTACAAAACTTGTTTTGAAATGGCGTTGACTTTTGTAATTTGGTTTGTCACCATAGGTAAAGTTTCTGACATGATAGTAAACTGTGTTTGGGTTGGTTCTGAATGAAACAGTGGATTCAACTTTGAACAAGTCAGGGTTTATAGTTTCATGCATTTTTATGCGTGGGAAGAAAAAGGAGGAGTATCTGTTGAAGGAGTTATGATCATGGATGATATTTTCACCTCCTGTGAAGTAACCACGAATAGGGAAGAGGAAGAGGGTATGGGTGATGATGGTGGTGTCTTTGGTAGGTGAGGGTTGGATGATGGAAGAACAGTGGTCTTTGTAAGAAGGGTATGATGAGGAAAAGGAAGAGATTATTGAGAGAGTGAAAAGAAAGAAGAACATGGTGATGGTGAGATGAGATTTCATTGATGTCATCAACAACTGGTTTAAGGTTTTGGAATCAGAAAAGAAAGGTAGAGGGAGATACAAAGAGTTTACTTCATTGTTTATTATGTGGTAGACACTTTAGCAGCTGCAATAGCCAACAACTGTAGTTTAGTCTAAGATGTGCAATTTCAATGATCTTCAAGAACTAAAAGTAAATATAAATAATTTCATACTTATTCTATCTTTCCTATTAAGTAATTATAGTTGTAGATGCAAGTGGACAGTTTTTTCTGGCCGGCGGATTTTCTATAAGTGCCACAACAAAGTCCACTATATTTATTTTCAGCAAGAAAAAATAGACTTGCTGACGGTCACAATGAATGGAAGACTTGGAATCCAAGTCTTTGTGGGGCATAATCTCAAGTCAATACAAAAAATCACTATTAAGCCACAAATATTTGCCCCACTCAAAATTGTGAATTATTTATTCAAAAATTAATAAAAATTAATTACATACATAAATATTGTAAATTTAACTTCATGTCGATGTGAGATTTTTTTTTTTTGGATTGATTTGTAATATATATGAAAATATTTTTTTTGGTCTCAAAGTCTATTTAAAAATTTTAAGGTTAAATATTCAAACACCTAATATTAGTAAAATTAGGTTAGAGTCCCTGATAAAGTTTTTTTTAATTATTCCTTTATGTTATTATGTTATGTAGATTCCTTCACATAATTCCTTATTAGTCGGGTGATATGGAATCTTCACTCATAATTTCATGCGTGGATTTTTTATTTTGTTGTTTTTTAAATTTGTGTCTACATGTGCATGACAACATGGCATAATTGTTCCGATCCAACACCATACAACATTAAGGCTTGTTTTCCCCCATTTCTCTCTGCATCTAAGATTGTCATTTTAAAGAATCTGTCACCTTCAGTCGTCCGCTGACATTTGTATTCAAGGGTGAAAGCAAGTGTTCATCAACGAGTAATCTGGGTAAGGGTTTGTTAAGACGTGGGTGCAACGAAACCATGAATTTGTGGTATCTAACACCCTCGAAAATCCAAGCAGAAAATTCTGAAAATGTAGAAATTCCATGGTGAGTTGTTTATGAGGTTGTAATTCCTTTTATATTAACCTTTTCAATTATTTGTGTGTTAATAATATTGATTATAATTAATTGCAGAATTGTTGCAGATTGTTTATCTGGGACGATATGGTTAGCGAGGCTGAAGTGAATTCATCCAGATGCTGCGAATGTAACATGGACAAGGGTCATTTGAGAGAGTTTGTGAAGGAGATCGTTGAGGAGATTGATAGCAGAGTAGGTAAAAAATAGGGAGCAGAAGGGAGGTCAAACAAGCTGGAAAAATTGAAGAGAAAAGTTATATTGGAAAAGACAAAGAATTTATGGATGATTATTGTAATTGTTCTGTCATAGATGATTTTTGCAGTTGTGTATAATTTTAATTAGTTGTTATGTTTTCAAATTGTAATTGGTACTTGGTCTGTCATGGGTTGTAATTGTAAGATATACCAGTTTGTGTTGAATTAAAGCTCAAGTTTTGTTGTCCATTTCAATTATAATTGTAAGACAAACCAGTTTGTGTTGAATGGAAGTTTAAGTTATGTTTTCCATTTCATTTAGAATTGATGCAATTTAGTTCAAGTTATATTCAATGACAGTGATTTTACATAAAATCTTGACAACATAGTTGAAATAAGTTAGATTAACAAAAACACACTTGGTGCATATGTCTTTTATAACATTACCAAAAGGACACAAAAGACATATATAGTGCATAGGTCTATTACAACATTATAATTTGAAACAAGCATACGTTGATACAAAAGACACATATAGTGCTTAGATTTATTACAAGATAACATAATACTTAATCTCTCATTTTTTGGTCTTCCATGTCTTCATAAGCCTTGTTTTCACTCCTAGTTTGAAGTCTTTTGAACATGACTTCTCTCCAACTTCTGATATGGTAATTGACTGCTCACTAGATCCTAGACCTATAATTTGTTTCTTAAACCAATTCAATTTTTTCCTTTCACTCTGCCTTCTTTTTGTGACTGGATTATTTCTTTTCTGTTTCTTTGATTGCATGGAAATTGAGTTAGCCACAACAAATCCAGTTTGACTCATAATAATTGGTACAATAATGTCAGTCTCAGTATGCCCATCAATGGGAAATGCATAATAAGTAGTCATTGTACTTTGTCCATCAGTAGGCATTGAACTCTGTCCATCATTAGGAACTGAATTCTCTCCAGCATTAGGATATGAACTCTATCCATTAGTAGGAACTGAACTATGTCCATCAGTAGGAACTATCCTCTCAGCTTCAACAGATTTTTTTACATTTTAAACTTTTCTCTACACAAATAAAAACATGTTATATTAGTCACAAATAAATTAAATTTGTACAACATATTGAATTTTAAGAAACACAATCATACCTTTCTTTTCAGTGCATTGGGGTCTTGTGTCAATGCCTTGCAAGTCAATGTATTGTGATCAAACTTGTCATATTTGGTGCACTTTATATGCAACCACAAGTCTTCTCTTTCTTGCACATTCCTCTCAAAGTTCTCTTATCATAACCTTCATAGGCCTTCTTGGACCTTTTTTGTATGATGGTGGTAATACTTGTTCCATTTATACTTCTGGCCACATATCCTGACCATTGATAGAGCTTATTGAAAAACCATAACAAAGTGCAAAATTTTCTCTGGTGTAACACTCATCAACAAAGTCATCAAGGTTTTGCTTCCTATAACTCAAAGTTGCCACAACATGTCTACACGGTATTCCTACTAATTCCCAGAAGTTGCAGCTACATGACCTATTAACTATGTCAATAATAAACTCTTGGTTGTTGTAACTATGAGTGACTTGGAGTTGCTCAACCATGGACCATGTTGGCAACCAATGTCCATTGTTGAATACTTTATTATCTAACCTTCTCCTAGGTATTGACATCACTATATGTTGCCACTTTTCTAGTTTATTGGCAGATGTAGCTAATCTATTCATAAGTTATTTTCTTATCCACTCACACATAGCCAGTATAGGTTTGTCCCCAGCAACTAATATTGTAGCATTAAAAGACTCAAACATGTACTCATCAAAACATCACATTTAGGGGTAAAAAGTGAAGGGATCTCTACCTACAACAATTAATAGTTGTCCACTATACTTGGTCTTCAAATGACATCTATTAACCCCCACGAAGGATCTGGATCCATTAATAAATCCTTTCTTACAACCATTAAAACAAAAATAAAAAGATCCAAACCTTGGTTGTATGAAAGGAGTAGGTCTTTCAACATTGATCTTCACAGTGTCACCAGGATTTATCCTTGTTAATTCAGATACGTACCTTCATATGGATGCATACTGATTATCTGCATCACCTTCAATTACCTTCTTAGCTATTAACTTAGCCCTCCATGCTCTTGTAACACTAATCCCTACAGAATTTTTTGCCTGATATCTTGCATTATATCTCTTATCCTAATAGTATCAAAAGTTTGCATCTTCTTTACCACGTGCGTAGCCACCCACCTAGAGTTGACAGATTTGTTGTCCAAAACCCTAGCACATGTGTGGGTATCTAGAAGTATTTTTATTGTAAAAGTGTGCTTGTGGCTCACTTTAGAGTATAAGACCAAAAAATCACATTTAGCCTTACACTCTACTCTCACCCTATAACTTTCATTTTTTACAAAGATAATTTCCCTCTCATTGAGGATTGACCACTCACGAATAGTCTCCTTAAATTCCACAAGAATTAAATTCCATACCCCACTTAAGCTTATAGTCCTTGTTCAGGTGCTCTTTTCTAAATCTCTCATACTTGGGTCTTTCATCATCACAAGAATCATCTGGGTCATCACTATTCAATTCATCAGTATGATATTCATCCTCATCCATTTTCTTATTGGGCCTATCAAAAAACCCACTAAGACTTACATCTTCATTCAATGGCAATGTAACATCGATTACTTCAAAGCCATCAAGAAGAACAGTAGCCCTCTCATCTTCACTATCATCTAATCCTTCAACCATCTCCTCTTCCAACCCATCCATTTCATTCATCTCATTAATACAGGTTCCCTATCATCAGCATCCATGTTTCCCAAAGAATTTTCCACATATAAATATCCATTGATATTCATTACACTGAAGAATGATGCAAAATCGTATGTATTATTATCCTTTCTTATTATAATATCCTTTGAGTTCAAAAATATTTTTTATGAAAACTTATTTTAAATAGTTTCAAAATTAAGTGATTTTTTAAATTTTTTATATCCAAAAAGTTTTTCAATTAAATAATAAAATATGTACAATAATATTTTAAGAATAAGTATTCAAACTATTATGAAAAATTTCTTTATAAATTTTCTTTACATAAAATTATGTAACTTTATAAAAATTATTTTAAAAAAAAAACAAAACAAACAGGCTTAATACGTTACGCCCTTAAAATTATTTTGAATATGTAACCACTAACTCCAAAAGTTTTTAAAATTCCATGTGTTTATTTCATCACACATACTAGATAGAGTCATGAAAATAGTAAAGTCCAATTAGGAAAGTTTAACACTTTGATATATTGAAGAAAAACCCGCTATTAGGATGCAAATTAAGATTCCCAACAAAATCCACTGAAAGCACTCAAACTGTTCCTGTATTAAGCTTCAAATTTATCAGCAAATAAGGCTATGAGAACTAGTCTTTTACACTTAACAAACTTGCACTGTAAAGACAAATTACAACAGCACAATTTCATAACAAAAATAAATAAAAAGAACTAGAAAATGACCACTTTGATTCACCGTGATTAGGCCATTAGCACTTGACCAAAGAAAAGGGCCTTTTTACATGTTGGTTGTTTCTACTTCTCCTTCTGATTTAGGCACCTTTGCATATCCCTTTGATCCTTTGAATCTACGAGGCAGAAAATATTGAGCACCAAAATGCTGCTGCAAGTAGATAATGATAGATAATACAATACATAGCAATGGAATGAAAATATCCCAAGAAGTTGAGTAAAAGTCTTCGCTTGGATCCGCATAAAAGTATGAGTTACTATCTTGGTCATCGTAACTGCGAGTCCTGTAAAGATCATAAGCATGTGGCAAGAGTCTCACAAAAGTAGTTCCAAAGTAAAATGGATTTGAAAGAGCATTTTCCTTTGTATTTGAAAACAAGTTTAGAATGACTTGCGGCACAAGAAATCCATCTAATATGAAACCACCGTAAGATTTTATGTTCTCCCAAGACGAAACATGTTGGCGGTACATCGATGTAATCGAGTTTCTATCGTTCTTTAACTTCAACAACAATGCAATCAGTAATCCAGCTGCATACAAGGGGAAAGTCACATAAGAAGCCTTTTTCTCAGCAATCCAGAGGTGGTTCTCGCTTTCGTTAGTCTTTCTTGAACTCCAAGTTAGATACAGAAGACGGAATTGCAACAAGAAAGCTACCATTGTGATTAGCCTCACACTTATTTCATTAACTTCAAGCCATTTTTCAACATATCCTATAATATAGGATTTGTTCTTTTGATTTTGAGCAAGAAGTGCTTCAAAATTGAGAACAAGTGGTATCATGTGACCTAATGTGAGAATTGACATCATGAAAATTGAGATGAAAGGAAGCACATTCGGGTGTTTCTTCACATGGTAGAGTTGCAATCCGACGAAAACACATGCTAGAGTGGTAGATATCAGAGTCATGATGACTTCAATATCCATTCTCCAAGCATTTCTTCTTGCTACTCTGATGTTATATGATCTTGCAGATACCTCTAAACTTTTGAAGTAAAGAGGGTCGGATTTGTGGCGTGTGCTTTCAATGCTTCCCTTAATGTAGCTCCTATCAATTGTATCTAAAGGAGGGAATTGAAATTTCATCAAAATCTCACAGTCCAAAGAATGTGATGTTGGTGTTCCATGGTTTGAATCAAGGTTGCGGCAACCTACCATACATAAGGTTCCATTTCTTGAGTCATAAATTCCTTCTGCAGAAATCTTCACCGAAGAGTAAGACATGTTAAACAAGGAATTCTTTTCAAATGGCGGAGAAGACATCATGTAGAGCCTAATCCTGTAGCTAATGTTAAACAAGCTACCATTATTGTTGTTCAAGATTCCATAATCAAATCCACTACTTAATGTAGATAGATCTGACTCATAGGAATCATCATCAACAAATAAGGGAGAAGAAGAACCCCAAGCTACTCTTTTTTTGGACTCTCTAATTGACATATGGAGTTTCATGTCATATGAATATGCATCTGGATACCTTTTTCCTTGAATCGCGACAACCTTGTCTGTTAAACATGATTGCTTAACTCTATCAAGCTTGCTATACTCATACTTCAAGTCTTTCCCCCCGATACGATAATTATGATCATTCCAAAATGTTATCATCTTGAAGTAGTTTGGCTCACTAGCACTCTTGTTGCTCCAAATTTGGCCAACAATGCTACTAGTTTTATTGATTGACCAAATTGAAGGGAATCTCAATCTCAATCTTATTGAACAATCACCAACATGAGTTTCATTCAAGGATGAAGATTTTCTTCCACCAATGAAATGGCAAAGAACTACATAAAGCATATTTTTCTTCTCATCCCACCATCCTTCCCCTATTAACATAGTTTTGGTATTCAAGCTTTGGTTATTCTTATTCCAATAGTAATCAACACTATTTGAAAATTCAACCAAAACCCTAACCCTATGTTTCTTAATATGGGAAGAGCACTCAATTCCTTTCAAAGACATGTGTGATGGCAATTGATCACTAGAACCACTAACTATAGGAGTGCAATTCTTTGAAGAGCTACACTCATGAGTGTATTCTAGTTGGAGTGTTGTAATAGCACTTGAGAGAGGATATGAACAAAAACTCAATGAATCAAAGTTCAATGATAAACTTTCCTCATCGTCATCACTATCAAAAAAGAAATCATTTTCAACTTCTTTAGTATCCAAACTATAACTATAATTTGCTTTTGGAAACATCATTAAAGAAATTGGTTCAAAGTAACGATCATCGTCACCCTTTTCAGAACTCAAACTCTCTAAGCTTCCACTAACCAAACTAGTGACATTACTTGAATTGAAAACATTGTTAAGCTTAAAGACAGCTTCAAGATTAAGAGAATCACCTTTTTTAGAAACACCTTTGCTTTTTCCAATCATGCAAACATTCCCTGAAGATTGAGACCAGAAACCATCAAGCTTGAAAGTTAAGTAACCTCTATGATCATCATAGGTGGTTCTAAATGATATAGTGCCTTCAACTTTGAAAAGATGAGGGTGTGAAGTTGCATGTGTATTTCTTGGTGGAAAATATAAGGAGAATTGGTTCCAAGTAGTATCAACATTGATGATACTATCACCTCCTACGTAGTAACCTGTGTTCTTATCACTTAAGGGGAAAGAATTGAATTTGAGTTTGGTTGTTCCATATGTTTCTGGGATTATAGAAGCACATTGGTCATTGTAAGTGGATTTTGAGGCTAATGAGAAAGGGTTGAAGGAGAAGAAAGTGAAAACTAAGATAAGTAGTGAAATAAGAGAATTCATGATCAATATGAAGTTGTTTCTTAGGAAAGGATAGATGAAGAATCAATATATTGCAGTTATATATAATATATCTTTGTGTTACTTAATGCCAAGGGTCAATTTCTTAGATATTTTCTATATAATAATATATCTATGTTATCTAAGATTATTGTGGAAGCAATTTCAAAGAAAAAATGTTATGGACAAGAAAGACATGGAAACAAGTGGTGATAATTATTTATGGAGTATTTGGCAAGATATGTAGAATGAGTCAATGAAAACCTTAGATGTTAATTAGTGCACCTTCTGAGGTATTTCTTGTTAGACTCTTGTAACATGAAATATTCAAAAACTCAACTGTCACGAAAGGTGATAGTGATAGGGGTGAATTTTTCTCACACCCTAAATCACTTCACATAGGGATGAATTTTTCTCACACCCTAAATCACTTCACATGTACACTTTCAAACACAAGTTTTATATCGTTTGAAAAATAATGTTTCGGATAAGTTATGTCCTCTAAAAAGAATGCTTGTAAAATTATGTAAGGTGTTATAAAAATTAGAGATGAATAAAGTTGTTACCTAGTGATACAACCAACTGTAAAACTAGAGCTGACTATATGATCTCTCCTCTCGGTTTGCTTAATCGGATCTACATAAACTTGTATGTTAAACAGATTAGGTTAGCTAATCTGCAAATAGTAATGAATTGTAATATGTTAGTATGAGTTCAACCCGCGCTAGTCTACGGTTAAATGGGTCATTAACCGTTAAGGCTAAGCTAATATGGTGAATCTCTAAGTCATCTTGTTCTATTGATTTAAAGCTTGATGTTGCAATTGTATTTATTTGTATCGAATATGATCACTATATTGGTATACACAATAGGTAATAATATAATTTACACTTATGATTAATTGAATACAAATCAATACTAATTAATTTGTAATCGATTCTCAACATCTCCTTCAAGCTGGATCGTATATATTGTATGATCCGAGCTTGTTACAAATATAATTCACTCGAGAACCTTTAAAAAACTTTGTAAACATATCAATCAATTGGTCTTTAGATTTGACGAACTTTGTGGTTATTTCTTCTGACAATACTTTTTCTCTTACATAGTGAGAATTTATTTCTATGTGCTTGGTCCTTTCACGGAATACTAGATTGGATGCAATGTGAAGTGCCGCTTGATTGTCGCATATGAGTCTGTGTCCTGAAGGTCTCCCAACCTAAGTTCAGAGTGTAAATTCTTAAGTCACGAAAGTTCTTTTGCTGCTGCTGCCATAACATGATATTCAGCTTCAACACCAGATAGTGCAACTGTGTTTAGTTTCTTGCTCCTCCATGAGATAACATCTCCTCCAATAAGAACACAATATCCGGAAGTGGATCTCCTATCCGACGGTGATCATGCCCAATCTGCATCTGAATAACACGTGATTTTAGCATCACACTTATCTTCGTATAATATGTCGTTTCCCAGTGCATTATTTATATAACTGAGAATCTAAATAATTGCATTCCAATGAGTATCACAAGGAGCATTCAGAAATTGACTCACAATGCTCACTGCAAAAGTAATATCCGATCTGATGACGGTAAGATAATTGAGTCTACCCACTAGACATCGATATCTTCCCGGGTCTTTCAACAACTCTCCATGACCCGAAAGAAGCTTTGACGTTGGGATCCATAAGAGTATTAATCGGACGAAAATCAAGCATACCTGTTTTATTGAGGATGTCTAATGCATACTTATGTTGGTTAATTGCAATGCTTGACGAGGACTGAGCAACTTCAATACTCAAGAAGTATCTGAGTGGACCCAAGTCTTTTGTCTAAAAGTTATTGAAAAAACGAGTTTTAAGTTGTTGGATACCCTATGTATCATCTCCAGTGATAACGATGTCATCAACATAGACCACAAGAAAGATGCGCTGACCGGTGGAGGAATGAAGAAAGAAAACCGAGTGATCTGATTCATATCTAGTCATGCCAAACTATATCAAGGCAGAGTTGAAGTGACCAAACCAAGCACATGAAGACTGTTCCATCCCATAAAGAGATCGGCGAAGCCGACAGACAAGTCTAAAATTTCCAGAAATGGTAAAACCTGAAGGTTGGTCCATATAGACTTCCTCCTCCAATTATCCATGTAAAAAGGTATTTTTAATGTCTAATTGATGAAGCAGTCAATGATTAATAGCAACCATTGCAAGAAAGATACATATTGAACTAATCTTGGCCACTTGAGAAAATTGTATCACCATAATCAAGGCCAAATATATGTGTATATCCTTTGGCTACCAAGCAAGCTTTGAAACGGTCGATTTGACCATCTGATTCAACCTTCACCGTATAAACCCATTGACATCCTATTGTAGTTTTGTTGAAATGTAAAGTAACAATATTCCAAGTATTATTTAAATGCAATGTAGTCATTTCTTCCATCATCGTCTGACGCCAATTGGGATCAGTCATAGCCTCACCTGTAGACTTAAGAATAGACAAAATTTAAAGCAGACACAAAAGACACATATGAAGTAGAAAGACAGACATAATTTAAAACACATGCATATTTAGGATTTGGAGTATGAGATCTAATATCTTTTCGTAATTTTATCGGGAGGTCAAGTTCAGGTGACATAGCTGGAGGAACAGTTGGAGCATGAGATGGTGCTGGTGGATTAATATCATCTCTAACTTCCGATGGACGGGGTGTCTTTTGCTGGTAGACCTGCAATAGAGATTTAATTGGTGTGGAGATGACATAAGGTACATCTTGAGCATCTAAGTTATAAGTCTCATCGGGTGACACAAAGGCAGAAAAAAATGGGGAACCTTCAAAGAATATAACATCAGAGGAAACAATGTACCGTTGAAGTTGCGGACATAAACAACAATATCCTTTTTGTATACATGAGTAACCTAGAAAAATACATTTTATATATTTGGCAAAGAGTTTGTCTTTACCTGGGCTAAGATCATGAACAAAGCATGTGCAACCAAAGACACAAAGCAGAATGAGATATAGGTCATATTGTAGATTAATGATAGAGTATGGAATCTGATCTTGAAGGACCGACAAAGGCATTCAATTGATAAGGTGACAAAATGTGAGGAGAGCATCAACCCAAAAACGATAAGGTACATTATGGTGAAGTAAAAGAGTTAGTGCGGTTTCAACTAAATAACGATTCTTCTATTCAGCAACACCGTTCTGTTATGGTGTATGAGCACATGGTGATTGGTGAATAATTTCCTATGATGTTAAAAAAGATTGAAACTGGTATGACATATATTCACGAGCATTATTAGTGCGTAAAATTTTAATGAAAGTGTTAAACTAGTTTTTAATTTCAGCATAAAACTCTTGGAATATATGAAAAACATCTGAACGATTTTTCATTAGAAATAACCAAATGCATCGTGAGAAATCATTGATGAAAGTTACAAAATAGCTAAGATATACTTCACACGAATAGGACCCCAAATATAATAATAAACTAAAGCAAAAGGTGATGCAACACTTTTATTTACTTGTTGACAGTAAGTACTACGGGTATGTTTGCCTAATTGACACGACTGACACTCAAAACATGAAAGCTTAAAAATATCATAAACTAAAAGACACATTTTATTAAGACTAGGGTGACCCAAATGTTTATGTGTAAGATCTTGAGAAGAAATAAAACCATATGCCACCGGTTGAGATATATGATATAATCCTCTTGATTCACTCTCTGCTCCAATCGTCCATCATGTACAGCGATCCTGTACATAAACAAAACTATCATTAAAAGTGATTGAACAATCAAGAGTACGAGTAAGATTATGAACATATATCAGATTAAAAGGACAACTAGGAATGTAAAGAACGTACTCTAAAGTCAGGTTTGGAAGTGGGTGTGTCTGACCAAGGCCTTGAACTTTGATTTTAGAACCATCAGCCACATCAATAGAAAGCAAATATCAGAATAAGACAAATGAGATAAAATAGATTTATTACCAGTCATATGATCAGTGGTACCACAGTCAAAGACCCAAGGACCAAGAGAAGATATAGATACCAAGACTACATGATTACCCGAATGAGCAACAACGAAAAATGCTGATGGTTGATGGACTGCTTTGAATTGGAGAAATCATTGTAATCAACAGTATGAATTGTAATGTCTTTAGTGTTATCTGATTGAGCGACTGCAACGACTCGTGGTTGTCGTTGTTGTTCTCTTGCCTTTGCATGACAATAAGCTTCAATGTGATTGTAACGATTGTAATAGTTACAACGAATACTTGGACGTTGTCCACCCCTTCCTCTGATTCGTCCACCACGATCATGATATTTGGAAGCAAGAGCAGATGATTCAGTGGGAGATGGACTGGAGACCGGTCCAAAGGCGTGAGGTGTAGTCAAACTCAATAGTAGTTCACTAACTTCATAGTTAGGACATTGAATCTTGATAAAATATGATTTTGGACGGAATCAAGCTCGGATGGTAGTCCGACAAATTCCATGATCATGAAATGCTTACTTTGTTGTTCAACATAAGTTGTTGGATCTTTGGTAAAGGGCATCAAGCTTACTCAGATAGGCTTGCATATTCATATTCTCCAAATTCAAAGAGTTGAATTTGGTGATGAAACAATAAAGATTATGGACATCATTATAGAACACTTTCTTAGCCTTTTCCCAGACCTCATAGCAAGTGGTAAAGGTTTGGTATTGCGCTTGAAGATTAGTTGCTATGGAAAACCATAACACAGTGCACAGAGAAGCATCTGTTTGTTTCCATTTATCGCATTTGGCAACAATGATATTTTCCAATTTTGTAGTTAAGTGATCTTCATGTCCTTGACCATGAAACCACATTTTGACAGAACCAGACCATATATTATAATTGGCTGTTTTGGTGAGTTTTTCACACGTGATAAGTGGAACCTTTATAAAAATGGAGGAATTGGTATCCCATGATTTTTGGTTGCTTGGATGGAAAAACCAAGAGAAGATTT